AATTTTTTTTCATAGTGAATTTTGACAATCTTTAATTGATGATAATTTTCATTTCTATTTGCAGTCTAACTTCACACCAATAATGTACTGGTAATGATTCTTTCTTTGAATAATTAATATAGTATCCTCTATTGAAGAAGTAATAAATGAATGTTGGGAAAGTGTTCAACAGTAATAATTGTAACAGTCATTAAATTCATAAATTATTCTTTTCTGCTACGATTAATGTGAAAGTAATTTTTATTTTCACAAACTCTTAAGCAAGAAATAAATTTGTCGAGAATATCAAGTGTGAAACATTTATTTGTACATGTTAGCTTACCACTGAAGTTCAATTGTCTGGCCTAGCACTATGGCATGGTATTAACTGAGCAAACCAACAAAATTGTCAAGTTCTAGTTCTGGTAAACCACAAGTTCAAAAAGTCATTTTTGTACACTATGAAATCCCTAGTCAAAAATTAGAATGACCATTTCTGACAACCACCAGTGAAAAAGGGGTAATAAATTCTACCCCATTTAACCATTTATATTAGATGTATTTCTGCGGGGTCCCCGAAAGTGTTTTGTTTCAAGAGTAAATAAAACCAAAGTTAAGAGTAACAAATATTTTATTTCTTGCTTTTGAAGTTCATGTGTCATGCTGTGTTGTAGCGTACAGAGTGTATAATTCTTCTCATGATTCATGGCATACCCATGTTTTACTGATACCATTTTAGTGTCTACTGGCTGATTGATAGACAACACACTAGTTTATAGTGGTGCGAGTGATTAAAACAGGTGTGGCCTTCGGTCACTTTTTGGAGAAATTACCTAAAACATACCTGTGACATTTAAATAAAACTTGATAAAAATAAATTATAAAAAATACGAACCAAGTACCATTACAACAAAGTTCTCCATTAACATAAAAACAATAAAATACCTGAAGATACAGAAGGTGAGGACTTTGTTTTGCTTAGACCAACGTGCTTCCTTAGAAAGTCCACACAATCCTCTAATCTACGGACAGTGTTAGCTTCCACTTCATCATCACACTCATAACACCTTTAAAAAAGTCAGATTTCAAACTATAAATATATAATATC